CGGGCCGGGAGCAGGAGGCAGAGCTGAAGCCCAAGGTTGAGGGGCTTTCACCCAGCCCCTAGAGCCTGGCACTTTGAACTCAGACTTCTAGCCTCCTAACCTGTAAGAGAATAAACTCCTGTTTGTTCAAGCCAGCCCACCTGTGGTTTCTTCTGTCCGAGGGGCACTAGGGAACCAGGACAGCCTCCTACCTCTCTGGGCATTCCTTACTCATCTCTGTGACAGACTCCTCTTGTTCTGCCCTGCTCTTAATATGTGGTCTCCTTTAGGATTCCAAGGAGTCCTAGCTCGACTGCTAACAAAAAGGTCAGCGGTTCAAACCCAGCAGCCGTTCCATGGGAGAACGAGGTGGTGGTCTGCTTCTGTAAGGACTGCCAGCCTTGGAAACCCTATGGGGCAGTTTTACTCTATCCTTTAAAGTCCCTAAGAGTTGGAATTGACTCAACTGCAGTTGATTGGTTTGGGTTAGCATTCCAACCCCTGCCTCTTGGCTCTTCGTTGTACACACGCTCCCTGAGCAATTTTACTCCTCCCCAAGTTGCAGTCCTCTTTGTCTCTTCATCTGCCTCCTGGCCTTCACCCTTTACATGCCTCGTAGGCACCGCACACTCATTACCTTCTCCTGCCTCCCCGCTTGAGAGTCTGGGTGGATAGGGGAACACAGAGGTAGATGCCAACTTCATTCCTTTGTTGTGCTTATTTTTGGGGAAAAGATGCAGCTACAGATTGACTTGTGCCCCCAAGTGATGTCAGTCCTCCACGCTATGCGTGTACTTGTGGATGGAGTCCCCTTTGGGAAGAGGGTTTTCTTTGTTATGTAAATGAGCCATGGCAGTGTGGCCTGTGTGTTGTCAATCCTTTTAAAAAGAGCCCACTGGGTGCACAGAAGGGTGCAGGAATGGAGGGGCAGGTCCACGCCAAGTGAAGATCGCAAAGGCAGGGAGGAACAGACTGCAGAGAGCCAAAGCCCTGCCCCCACAGCTGACACGGAGAGAAAGCCTTTGCCTAGGGCCAAACCTCTAGCCTCCTAAACTGTGAGAAAATACATTTCTGTTCATCAAAGCCACCCCTGTGGCGTTTCTGTTACAGGAGCACTGGATGCCCGAGACAGGTGCTGAGTTTAGGGCAGCACAGAGGCCACGAGGCTACCTGGTGGCCCTACCGGCTACGCTGCCCCTTGACCCTCAGTGTCTCCAGCCTCTGCTCCTCCCCACAGGCCCCCATCGGCCAATCCTGAGGCTTGAGCCTCGCCTGAGCCGGTGCAGCCACACAGCACGTGCTGCATTCTCCCGGCAACGAGCGGTATGCATGCTTCACACAGGTCCCGGCTTCCAAAGCTGCGGAAGCAGGCCAAGCTGGGCCCATGGCCCTCCTGCTCCCTAGCTGACGGGCAACGCATCCCTCTCCCCTGCTATGGTCTGTGTGGCCCCAAATCTGTGCTGAATCCTGGGTTCTGTACCTGGGGATGTGACCCTGTTTGGAAATGGGTTTCTTTTGCTAGGTTAACGAGGCCATGCCCAAATAGGGTAGAGTCTAAACTGGATCACTTCTGAGTGAGTTATAAAAAGGGCAGAACAGGCACAGAGACACACACGGGGGGGGGGGGACCGATGCCATGTGAGGACCCCTCCACCTGCCCAGAAACCCCAAGGATTGCTGGCAGCTACTGGAAGCTGGTAAGAAAGGCCCTCTCCCTAGAGCCATGCCCCAAAGTCGGACATCTAGCCTCCTGACCTGTGAGACAACACATTTCGTTCCTTAAAGGCGCTGGCCTGTGGCGCGTCTGACAGCGGCGCTAGGATGCTGAGGCCGCGGGCAGGTGTGCTTCGCGAGGAAAGCCCGCGTGCAGCAGGCCAGCTGGCCCGAAGCAGCCTCTGCCCCAGCCCCGTGCGGAGCGTCGGGCACCGCACGTGCCTGGGGCCAGGAGCGTTCGCTTGTTCCTGACGCTGAGCCATAGGTTCCTTCCACCACCCGAGCCCACCACCTCCTGCTGCTAAATTTTTCACTGAAAAATCTGTGCTGAAAGCTTCCAGAGCAGATTGGTTTTCCATTCGATAATTCACATTCATTGTTTGGCGACACTGACTGCAGTCCCCACAATGTGCCAGCACCCTCCCACTTCCTCCCTGGGTCTCCCGTTTCCCTTCGTCCTGCCCCGTCCCTTCCTGCCTTCTGAGCTTTGTCCCCGGACACATGCTGCCCTTCTGATCAACGGCTGACTGTTGTAAGGAGGGCGTCCCTCCCGGGTGTGACTGTTCACTCCGGAGACCTGTCCGGAGTGTGACTGACAGCTGAGCTACGGGGTGAGTTTGGTTCCAGGCCCGAGAGCAGCGTTGTCCTGAGCAAACTCTGTGGATCCGCAGTCACTGAGCGGTGCAAGGCCCTGGATTTTCAGGCTGTGTCGTTGTGTCCACACGGGACATGCGGGGTGGGGCTGGCAGGCTAGAGGCCTTTGGGAGAGTGCTGACTTTAACACCTCACCCCTTTGCCCCACGATCCCCTGCCTGACACGCTGACCTACTGCGAGCATCACACAGCCGCCGTAATGCCCACCTTCTCTCTTCCCCTGCTTCACCCCGTCACTGTCTCCCTTCTCCCTCACTCCCCACCCCATCACTTGCCCTCTCACCTCCTCTGGCCCTCTGTCATCCTCTGCTCGTGTGATGCCCACAAATAGCGCTCACCTACCTGGGCCCGCGCCACCAGGCACCACACTTTGGGAGGTAGTGCCAGTGCCAGTCGGAGGGACTTCTCAGTGTCGGGAATGAGCCAGGGCCCCTTACGCTTGGGGACATACCCTGCTCTCCTCACAGACACCCATCCCAGCTCCACCACGACACCAAGCTTAGGGGTCCCCCCCAACCCCCAGCCAGGCAGGTGCATGGAGTACGGATCCTTCAGCCCCGGTGTGGTGCCGGGAGAAGCAGTTCACGCCTAGCCGCGGCCCCCGGGGGCAATCTCGACTCCAGCAGCAGCAGGCCCCACGGCCCCTCGTCCTCACCTGCCAGAGTGGCCCTCCGCTTCAATGAGCTGCTTGGGTCCTCGGGGGCTGCTGGGCCCCTCCAGGCTGCTGGCGCCTGCAGGCTGTGGACTAGCGCTGGCCGGTCCTCCTCTCAGGGTGGCGGGCAGCCCCTGCCATGCCTCTCTGGCCTTGCTATCAGCCTTCTGCTCTCCACCCTCTGACAAGGCTCTGAGGAAGAACAAACACCCTTCGTGAGCTTTACTGCCCCGCTGCGCGCCGTCACCTCTGAGGCACACGCAGGGGCTGTCTTCCTGAGAGCGAGGCGGACAGCCTCCAGGCAGAGCCCCCACCAACACCAGGCATCCTGTCTCCTCCTCAGAGGGCCCTGGCCCCACTGCTTCCCGACGAAGGCGGCCTCCACGCGTCCTACATGGAGATTGGGGTTCTGATGCTCCCCCACAATCTGGGGAGCAGGGATTGGCCCCATTCTCCAGGGAAGCAAGCTCCCAGGCAACATCTATCTGTAGGTCTCACCTCACCTCTGCCCCCAACTCTTATAGCTGCTCCCAGAGGAGGGAGAGGCGGCTGGCCGAGCCTAGACTTGCAGCCACTGCCAGCCCCACTCCCACCCCGAGGGGTGTGGCACTGCTTCCTTGGAGATGGGGCACCTGCCTGGTGGCCTCAGGCAACCAGTGTCCTGCAACCACTGGGCCATGAGTAGAGATGGGGTCTGGTTATTGGCATCACAAGCCCAGCACTGCGGAGAAATGAAAATCAAGGTCCCTGTCACCTTTGGCCTGGTCACCCTGAACTCAATTCTCCCAACGCCATCAGTAAAAGGGCTGCGTGCGGTGCTGGGACCACCCCATAGCAAGACCACACTGACTGCTCCTGCCGGCTGGGACTGTTTGCCCGGAAGCTGGGGTAGCAAGGGGCTCAGTGGCCCCACTTTTCCAAGGGTCTGTCCTGAAAGCAATGGGCCTCTGCAGCCATCATCCGAGAAGCTGACTATCACCTCCAGCTGCCCCAGGCAAGCGAGTGTGACCCCCGACAACTATGGGGACACTCTATTGGTGTCCTGTCTCTCTGTGCTCCTTCCCCCAGAGAGCAGCAGTGGGTCGCTCGGAAAACGCTAGCCTGCAGCAGCACACCACCTGGGCCCCTCGAAAGCCGGCAGCATGTCATTCACCTCTGGTGGTCCTGACCTCCCTTGACCCTGGACCTAGCGAAGGTCCCGCCCCCTGCCCAGTTTCCTCTGCAGAAGTATGATAATAGAGGTTGTCCTAACCAAGGTCCTGCACTGCTGTGGATGGAATTGTGGCTCCAAAAAAGACCCGTTGAAGTGCTAAGCCCTGTCCTGTCGATGTGACTGGGCCAAGTGCAGATGCTGTCAGTTAACAAGGTCACAGCCAGAGTCCTAATCCTGAGCCTTCTTCGTGGGGTCCCATGAAACGGGGGGCGGGGCAGACCCCGAGTCACATGCAGGGGAAGATGCCACAGAAGAAAGAGCTACAAGCGATGACACCTGGAGGAGCATGGCGGGAAGACAGCACACGAAGGCTGGCAGAGATCAGAGTGATGCTGCCACACGCCAAGGGACATCAGGAGCCACTGAAACTGGACGAAGCAAGAAATGGACTCTCCCCCAGAACCGTCAGAGGGAGTGCGGCCCTGCCAGCATCTTGATTTCAGACTTCTGGCCTCCACAGCTGTGAGTAATCCATTCCTGCTATAAGGAGCTCTGGTGGTGCCGTGGTTAATGCACTCAGCTGCTCACTGAAAGGTCAGTGGGTCAAACCTGCCAGCTGCTCTGTGGGAGAAAGATGAGAGTCTGCTTCTGCAAAACACTTACAGCTGGGAACCCTATGGGGTCAGTTCTACTCTGCCCTATAGGGTTGCTACAAGTCGATGGCAGGGTGTGTGTGTGATTGGGGGCGGGGGCTGGTCATCTGGCCCAGCAGGAAACTCAGCTGCTTCAACCGAAGCCCTTTCCTTCTGACGGTACTAGGCTCAGAGAGCCAGGGGCAGACTCCAGCCAACGCCGACTGGCCACCACCAATTTCTGCCTCAACCACACTCCGCAGGAAGTTGTCTACCCCCCAGTAGACTCCTCCTTTGGTTGATAAAACTGTCAGCAGTGAGTAAATGTGGCCAGAGGTCACCCGCTCCTCACACACACCAAACATGAATCCATCAGAAAAGCCATGACTTGCAACATCAACAAGGAGGAAACAGTATGTTTTAGATGTAAAATCTACTAAAAAAAAATTTAGGAGGGAGAGGACAGGCTATGTGGCTTTTCTAGTGAAATGAGGCCATTAAATTCCTACAGTCCTTGAATGGTTTGGAAGAAGCACTAATCGATCGATACCGGCTTTATTCCACGTGAAGCTTTCTAAAAACCATAGATGTGGATCCAGTCTCACTTGGCGGCGGGAGCACCCTGCAGGCCTTGCATACGCACACCGAGGAATTCTCACCACCTCCTGTGCGGGAGCTCTCTTTACCGCTAGTTTACAGGTGAGGAAACTGAGGCACAAAGGAATTGAGTAACATGCCCAAGGCCACAGAGCTCAGTGACAGAGATTAGATCTGAGCCCCAAAACCTGAGCCCATGCCCTTAACCACCATACATAAAAACCTCAAAACCAATCCCATTGCCATAGAGTCCATTCTGACTCCTAGCGACCCCTCATGGGGGTTTCCAAGGCGGTAAATCTGCGTAAGTACATTGACTGCCTTATCTTTCTTCCTCGTAGCAGCTGGTGGGTTTGAACTGCCACTCTTCCAGTCAGCAGCCAAATGCCCTCGGCACTGCGCCGCCAGACTGCCTCCCCATGTGTGTGATGGCACATTGCTAAGGTAGAATAGGCCAGCGCCCACTGAGTTTGGGGCAGCTGATGTTGCCTTGCAATCTAGCAAGGCGAGGTTGCCCGCACTGCAGGGTCTAGCCGGCCGCCCCCGCGTCTCTTATCCCCCTCCACCCCACTGTCTCCATCACTGGGTCTGGCTGAGTTTCCCGCACATCCACATCCCCCGCCCCGTACAGCTCTTCAGACCGCTTGGACCAGTATTGGTCCAAGAAGCAGGCTGCATGAGCCCTTTTGGGGCGCGGGCTACGTGCGACTCTCCAACCGCTGCCGGGGGAGGGCCACTGACTCTGACCCAGGCGGCGGGGGAGGGGCGGCGGGCGCCAGGGCGGGGCCGGGTAGGGCCATGGCCGATTTGTGATCGTGGCGCGCCATCTCGCGGTCAACGCGGGCATAGCTTCCGGAGAAGCGCCGCCGAGACACAGCTCGCCCGCGACGGCCATTTCGTGGTATTGACCGTCCCATTTCCCGGCGGGCACTGCGCCGAGCCAGCAGCTGAGAAAATGGAGTTGCGCGCAGGCAGCCGGCTCCTGGAGTTTAACACTTGCGCAGGCGCACAGCATTCGAGTCGGTTTCACTCATGCGCAGGCGCACACAGAATGACCACCCGCTCAAACTAGTTGCGAATTTGGCGGGCGAGCTCGCGTCGGTACTACGCGCGCGCAGGCGCACACGTTCTGCGCCCGCTGCACGGGGCTCTGCGAGACCCGTGAAGTTGTTCTGCGTCCACCCGCAGTTCCAGCAGAAATTGTGAAGCTTCTATAACAGTTTTCCCACCTGGGTACTTATGACGCAAGCCTTGTAATTCTGTGTGTGGAAACTCCGGTGTGTGTTTGACAGCATCCTTGGGCTTCACGCACTAGATGCCTGTAGCACCACCTAAATCCTGACAAAAATGTCCCCAGACATTGCCAAATGTCCCTAGAGAATTGACCCTGATTTGGAACCACTCCCTCCAACGGTGGACCTGGACTGGAGTGGAGAATAAAGTGGGATTGTAAACACAGACCTGGGTGGTGTAGCCCATAGTGGGCTCAGGAAGCTTCTTTTTTTAAAATACATTCTTGGTCACAGCATTTAAGCATTTCACTCGAGAAACACCGTGACTGAGGAAGTGTGTGTTGATTTTGCGAACTTTTAAAGATGAACAAAGAACACTTCTGAGCCTAGGAGCTGGCTTTGGCCGGTTTGGGGCTCCCAGGAGGAGGGCATCCCTTGGTTTTCTGTTGAACTGTATAACAAGAACCCAGGCCATCCCAGGGTTTGGGGAGGATGAGTAGGTCCCCGCAGACAGCGTGCTCTGCACACCAAGCACTTGTTCTCAGTTTCTCCTGAGGTGCTCGGAGCCTCTTGCCTCCCGGCAGCCCCATCGGCTCAGCCTGCTGCGCTCATTTCCTCATGTGGACTATTTCACGGGGCGCTAGGAAGACTGGCAGCGTGCACAGAACACCCAGCACAGCCTGCGACTCACGGCGACTCCACGCACAACAGGGTGAGACCAACGTGCTCCGTCAGGTTCTCATTGGTTGAATTTCAGGAGATTGGCAGGCCTTTCTTCCTACAGGGTGGGACCAACGTGCTCCGTCAGGTTCTCATTGGTTGAATTTCAGGAGATTGGCAGGCCTTTCTTCCTAGTCGGTCTCGGGCTGGAAGTCGGCTTAAACCTGCTCAGAGTCATAGCAACACGCCAGCCTCCGCGGACAAATGGGTGGTGGCCGCACGTGCGGAGGGAACTGTACCAGGGAACTGGCTGTTGGCTACTGTTTTCATTCTATTAACTGTGGGTGCAAGTCACATCACAGGGCTCATGGGGGTGGGGCGCCGAACTGGCGGAATGGAGACAACAAATATCCGAGAGTAACTGCCATGCAGTGTGAAAACGCCAAGCTGCTTTCACCTGTGAAAAACCTCAGCTCAAGGGCCACGTCCCGCACGCTGCTGCCGCCGCAGCCGCCAGGTGGTTATCTGCCTGCAGCGGCCTGACCTTCCGGAAGGCAGGGCTGGGGCTGGGTAGTCGGCGGGGCAGAAAGCCAG